ATCTGTCTGGGAATTAGTCCTGCTTTGAGCAGGGGGTTGGACTAATGACCTCCTGAGGTCCCTTCCAACCCTGATATTCTATGAAAGGATAACTGTGTGATAAGAACTGTAAAATGGAGTCAGTCTCATGAAACTCCAGCCCATTTTAAATTTAAAAACACTTAAAATAACAACTGGAAATAAATGAACTGACTGGTTTCAATGGCAGATTTGGATCTTTTTCATGCATATATCTAAAGCTGAAATGAATTTGATACTTTGACAGGTAACCCAACACAGTCCCTACCCTGAAGAACTTTACTCTAAAGTTGCCATGCTTTTCAGTTTGCAACATTGGTTCTAAATGTAAGGATTTATTGTCTAACTTCATGTAACGTTTTTAGGGTGCCCGTTTCATGACTACTGCCATGTATGATGCACGTGAAGCTATTATCCCAGGATCTGTTTATGACCGGAGCAGTCAAGGTAAGGAAGTTGTGGGAGTTGAACTCCTTTATTGACTTTCCAATTATGTAGTCATCAGGTGGGTTCTTTACTTTTTGATACTGAGCTAAGATTTCTCTTGAAAGCTCCCAAGTAAAGAACAACCTCTCACCATGTACAAACAAAACTGCTTTGGGCAAAATTTTACAATGAAAACTCTGATTTCTAAATTTAATTGTGGCATGGACCACCGTGCAAACGTGGCATTTCAGAAATCCCAAATTAACTTTTAGTGTAAACTATTTCATAACTTAACTAAACCCTGACTTAACCATTTGACTGTTGCTGATCTGTAGCTTGCTCTACGGAATGCTTTGGCAGTACAAAAAATCCAGAGAGACAATAACGTTGAGCTGTTAACTAAGCTGTTAAATTTTTCTAGGACGCCCATCGAACATGTACTTCCAAACACATGATCAAATTGGAATGATTAGTGCTGGACCCAGCCACGTCACTGCTATGAACATTCCTATCCCTTTCAACCTTGTGATGCCACCAATGCCACCACCAGGATATTTTGGGCAGGCTAATGGACCGGCCGCAGGTATGTAATCATTAAATACAGACCAAAAAAGCATGTTAATTACCTTTGGTTCTCCCTCCCAACGACACTACAGAAGGGGCATTTTGAGGCCCAGGTGGAGGGAGTGTTTTACAATGGCTTCTGGTAACACTTCTGGCTAAACTTGCAGCAGTGTTGATGGTTTCAGAGGAGATTGTCTAGCCTTCCTCAGCTGTAAGGATTGGTGGACATGATATAAAGCTTCTGATTATCCGCCAGGCTCTAAGAAAACTTCCTGTCCATCAGGGTCTAACAGTATACTTTATACTGTCTCTAAAACTTTAGATTCATAGATAGTTGCTACCTGAATAAGTATAATGTTGTGTAGTTTGCTAAGCCACCAGTATACATTTGACTAGAAACAAAATGTAAAATCATTACATATATAAAATATTTTCACTCTCTTGGCGGGGACTAACTTTTTCAGGACGTGGGACACCTAAAGGAAAGGCTGGTCGTGGTGGGCGCCAGAAAAATCGTTTTGGGATTCCTGGAACTAGCCACTCAAACCTTCCAAACAGTCAAGCGAGCCAAGATGTGGTGTCCCAGCCATTCTCCCAGGGTCCACTGACTCAGGGTTATATCTCCATGAGTCAGCCATCACAGATGAGCCAGCCAGGACTCTCCCAGCCAGAATTATCACAGGTAAGAGTGTAATAATCCTATTTATAAACTGCCTAGGCTACAAAGTGGTCTTTTTTTTTTTTTTTTTTTGTCCAGGAGTCATGCGCGTGGAAGAGGGTATGTGTGTATCGTGTAGTATTTGGGAGTAGCTTTCATTGCCCTTCCCCCACACATTCACAGTCTGAATATAAGGATATTTCCCCTTGAGGTACATCCATTAAGCTCTGTGGTGCACGTGCATTCAGGTACATCGATATTGCACTTCATTTTTACATGGTAATTTCATTTCACCGTAGGCCCTAACCTGAAATCAGACCCATTCCTAAAGAGGAACGTATTCTAGTACCTTAACAGAACAATTATTGCAAATTCTGGGCATTTCAGTAATGCTTGCAACTACACTGGGTAAATCACTGTAGAAATTCAGCAGCAAAGGGGTTGATTAAGGGGACAGTTAGTCTGAAGGAAAACACTGTTCTATGGCAGCCACAACCCCATTTGCGATCTAATGCAGCATACGCTCTTGAGACCCTAATACTACAAAAGTTTTGGGAGCTTCACAGAAAAACTCTCTCATTTCAGGACAGTTACCTTGGTGATGAGTTTAAATCTCAGATTGATGTGGCGCTGTCGCAGGACTCTACTTACCAGGGTGAACGTGCATATCAACATGGTGGAGTGACAGGACTGTCACAGTATTAGAGTGTAAGGCACTTCGATTCAGTTCTGTGTTTCTTTACTCCAAGTAACCTCTAGCCCACATGGCAATAGGGAAATGATTAATGTGAATTTTGTTGTCCTTTCCTTTCTTTAGGTTGAGGAAGAAGAGCTAAGCTTGTGTGGAGCTTAGTTCCATCAGCATTTTATTCTGGGTAATAAAAAAAATAAAATAAAATGGATACCTGTTTTCCACTGCTAAAACTGAAGCACCACTGTGTGAGAGCAACAGGAGAAAGAAAGAGAAACCAACCAACGGAGAGGAGAGAGAAAGGAGCGCGCGTGAGAGCCCACTGCTAGCTCACTGAGACAAGGAGACTGACCGGAGAGGAGAGAGAGCACCAAAGGACTGGCTGGCGCCTCACTGGGAAGGCAACTCGCCCTGAAAGAATGAGTGGTCAGCTGAGTCCCTGCTCCCCCAGTCAACCAAGCTTGAGAGAAGGGCCTTAAGCAGGTTTCACTTCATTCCATACTTCTCTTTGCGAGCAGGGCATCACTTTTCAGAGCAGGAGGGGAGAGGAAAACCCTCATCTCAGAGTTGTTCTCATTGGAAAAGGTACTATATTTTAGTAGTAACTGTTGACGTTTTAAAAGCAAAGTATCTAAAGAGGAAAGATCCTGCCGAAAAGTGACAGTAAGCCAAGCAGAAAACCAGCCAGAACATGGTGACTGTTCAACGCTGAGATGCAGGTTTTGTTGTCCAAAACTGGCTCTGAAATTCTAGTGTCATCATGTCGCCCACATTCTGAATGGGTATTTCGTGACAAGGTGGTTTTAAAGAGATTCTTTCAAAGGAGCACTGAATTTTTAGAAGTGTCTCTGAATTCTTAGTAGTGGACCTGGGAGATCCTTGTTCTGAGAAGCTTACCAAAAAAATTTAAAACAAACAAACAATCTAAATTAGAGCACCAACCTTGAGAACTTTCAGTGTGATTTAAAGTTGCAGCAATCAGCCTCTTCTTCCTACAATGGATAGCAGTTAGGAGTGAAAGGAGCCTGCACGCTCAAGCAGGAGGAGGGTTTCAAAGTGTTTTCTGTATGCTTTAATTGGCTACTGTCTGGACTCTACTCTATGAAAACAAGCCTTTCTGTAAGATGAACTGTGCGCTTAAAAGGGGATGGGTTCCTGTACCCTTCGGCCCTGGAGGAAAAGACGCTAGGAGGCCTGCTTTATTCACTCCCACTGATGCTGGGAGGAAGTAGTGGAAACTGGGGATTATATTGGTTTTGAAGTAAAGACTCTACAATGATATTGAAGCAGGTTGGAAAAAAATAAATGGAAAAAGCAGGCAGTTGTTGGAAGGTGGCCTCTGATGGGTATGATTAGAGACAATGGAGTAGGCTTTTGTGTGGCTTCTTCAGTGATTTAATGCAGATAGCTGAATGATTCAGGTGTTGAAGTTAAAAACAACCCTGGAGACTGCGTTTCAGGTCGTGAACATGGCTGTGGCATCAGTGCTGGCTTGAGAAGTAGTTGGAAGTCAAACTGAAAACAGCACATAAAAAAAGCCATCCAATTTCTAAGTTGTATCCGTGTCCTAAACAAGTCAAGTGGGAACACTGGGAGCATTTTATTTGTCTAAACTTTTTTAGAAATAGCACAGAGAACTTAAATTCCTACTAACCCATTTTTATCAGATCTCTAAATTAGAATAACCTCTACCTCCTAATTGGCTAAAAATCAGTAGTGTGTGAATTAATTACTAACCTAGATGTTTTTTAAAGTTTATGAATTAAGTTAGCTTTATAATCAAAGGGCTCCAAGTGTTTCTAGTCTTTTTTGTTTTTTTGAGGAACTAAAAAAAAAACAAACCAACAGAAAACAATCCTCTCAATGAATGTACTTAGACTAAATAACAAAACCCACTTCTTGTGATTTGGAAACACCCACTTGCATTACTCTGTCCATTCTGTAGATTATCAAACTGCTTTCATAACTTGTATTTGCTGTAGTTTTCCATGTCTCCCCCCCCCCCCCCTTCCCATTATAGTGTAGTATATCCATAGGTTTTGTAAGTAGTGTGCACGTGAAATTTAGAACAGATGTTCTGAATTCACTTTTTTGTTTATACTGGTCATAAATTGCAAAATAAATTAGAAACCTTCCTGAAACACACACAACATTCTTGTTTCATAAAAAGCCTCCAGAGTTTAGACTTCTACAATGTGCAAAGAATGGAGACACAGGCCACCTTCCTTCATGTAAGAGGGACTATTTTATTTATTAACATTTTAATTTTTTTCCTTCTGGGTAGGCTGCGTAGTTGCATAGAGATTTGAGATAGGTTTAAGCTGTAACTCTTTGTGCAATGCAATCCATTGAGTAATGTAACCCCTTCTTCCCCTGCCCCCAACCCCTTTATTTCACTGGTTGGAATGCTTGCCTCTGCTTTGTGCTGTTTTTTTCCTTTGTAGCAGTTACTCTGAGTTTTATAAATCCGCAGACATCAGTGCTAGCACTGTTAGTCTTTTTTTGATTTTGTCTGTATGTTTTAAACCTGTTGGTCATCAATAAAAAAATTAATAAAGAGCTCTTGCATTCAAGCTGGGGCCTATATTTCAGTAATCATTTTCGACCTTTTAAAAACAATATTTGTGACAGTTTGGCCCAGTGTTTGATTGTATAAACTTCACGTTTATTACATTTTAACATATACTAGTACAAAAGTGTGGGGTGTTTCTAGCATACATAGATAAGCAAATGAACTGTGAAAAGTTTGTTAAAGCGAAGTACCCCACCTGTACCCCCTCCTTTGGGGCTTGTCCAGACATGTGCATGCTGTAGGAATGTTGAGAAACCCACGGAGGCATTCTGTGCCCATGCATTGATGTTACAGAGAGGCTATATGGCAGTAGTCAGTTGCCCTTTTTATGAAAGGCTGTTAGAGGAGCTTGATCTTTTTTTAATATTGATGGCAAGAGCTTACTTCTTCTTCCAGGCTGGGGATAAAGACTTCCTTGCATAAAACCCATTGGAAGTAATGGCAAGACCCTTTTGAGGCTTTCATCTGCCCCCTTTCAAGTTACTCTGATCGTGGCTCTGGTGGTAAATCTGAGACAACATAGTAATTGAATAAATCCTTTTTAATAAAGTTCAGCTCACACATGCTGACTTAAGACTGGGCCTATCAATCTAAACCATTGACACCCCCAACTGCACTTGGTACAGCAGTCAAGCATTTGAAAGTTGCACGATTTAAGGTACAAATACAGTAAACTTTTCCACACTGCTTTCTGACGGAAGCATCTCTGAGCTGTGGTCCAAGTATAGCAGGCTGCTGATGCTGTGAGCAGGTTTCACGTTAGTGCACTGACATCACTTCACAGGGGCTGTGATCACTAAAGTAGCTATTGCATGTGTCCATTCTGGTCCACAAAGTATTGCACATGGTTATAGCTGTCTTTCCCTCCTAGCGTAAGAATTGTTTGGACTGCACGGTGGATAGGACAGAGCCCATTAGTTATTCATCTCTTTGTGCTTTGGTAAATGCAAGTGGAGATTTAGATGGAAAGCAAAAACCTCCCTCACAAGTGTGACCTAAATGAACTGAGCTTTGAGTTCCTTGATCTGCTGTGGACTCATTTTTCAAAACACTCAGTATAACAAAAACTAAAATCCCTCTTCTTTCATAGAAATCCAAGTGTGTTTTAATGTGGAATTTAATTCCTGGAATTAGAAGTAAGGGTAAGTATTTAAAAAGGAAAAACACTAGCAGATCAGGTGTTTGAGCCTGTCCCTGTTACTTTCTAGTTTTTTCAAAAGAAATTGACTGATTTCTTTTAAGATGGGGCTAGCCCCTTGACTTTAATATTTTATAAACTTGAGTAATTGATCTTATAAACCATAGTCACTAATCTGACTAGCATCTCATTCCTTTATTAAATGTTTGATTCTGGTTTTGATGTTGTTCTTGTTTACTGTACAGAATAATAGGGGGTAAACTGTCTTAGAACTCCACAGTACCGCATGTCTGTGAATCAGCTTCCTAAATGGCGGTGCAGAGGGTACCTGAAAATGTTAGTGCATAACAGCAGGTCACCTGTGTGGAATTGTGGTAGCCTTAAAGTATTCAGACTTACTTGCTCCTGTTCAACAAAGCTTTGGGTATATCCAGTAGCCCAACGCATTCATTGGGTAGGGTAGGGAAGTACATTGTCTGTGCAAATTAATTAAAATAAGAGGATAAGCCTTTTAGTTTCCCCATGGGGACAAAGGTCTTTCCTGTTAATACTTAGTGAAACCGTTCTATTAAGACACATTACAAGGTAGATACAAAAAAACAAGTCTCCACTAGTTTCAATCTGATTGACATTTAAAAAAGAGTTTCAAGTCTAATTCAGATTCCTTGCTCCTTCTCTTATCTCCCCCCCCCCCAGCCCCCCCCCAAAAAGACTGCAATTAAAATAATTGTCCGGTATTTGTCACTGAAAGGCAAAACTTTACTTTGAGTTCCAGTTTGACATCCGCCCATAGAGGTTGCCACCAGGCACAGATCTAAAGTGTAGGGCCCTGTGTCTGTAAAGTAGCTGTAGCTAGCAACTGCTCTGTTCTTCTTTTAGCTACACCAGAAGAGGAGGTGGTTCAGTGCTGGGTGCCTTGGGAAGGGTGGGGGATGGGAGGGGTTCTGTTGTGATAACTTGTCTAAAATTCAGTCACAGTGAAACACTTCAGGGCAAGGGGGAGATTTTAGAACTTCCCCAGAAGTTTTCAGCTGGAAGGGGAGGAAAGTTGCCCTGGTAGGGATTACTCAAGTCACATGACTCAGAGTGTCAGCTGAGCAGCTGTGGTTGATTTACTTCTAACAAGTGCCTCACCTCACTGGCAACTTTGCCCAGGCTTCTAGCATGGCCACTTTAACACTTCAAACACCCCCCACCCACCCCAAATCTTATTTTAACATGAATCCCACTTTGAAGAAAACAGGCCATCCCTCAGCCCCTTATCCCCTGGCACTAGCTAATAAACTGATTACGTTCAGAACAGGGCTGGATTATGGTAGTGTAGGTGGAGACCTACTAAACAGTAATAGGGACAGGGGCTTCAACTGCCCCTGCTCATCTGGAATTCAGGCTGAGTGAGCATTGCTGCTATGAAGGATCCCTGTGAAATTCTGTACTTCGAAGTCATCCCTTTTCCTGTCTTTCAGCTCATATCCATCATCTGAAGGACAGGCACCTTCAGCAGTTCATTCGTAGGTGTTGAAGAGGGAGAGGGTCCTCACCCCCCTGATTTGAATACAGCAAACTTGATCTGCCTTTCACAATGCCATTGCTGGTCCAACAGGTCTGTTGGACGTACCCCTGATGCCTTAACATACATAATCTGTTTAAACAGTGCAATGTGTAAAGGACTAAGTAGTCCTAGTTCCTTCTACAAACAGTGTTAAACTCTTATGGAGTCAACTGGAATCAGGCTAAAATGAGACTATTACGCTACTTTCACTGAGCCAAGTCCTCATTGCTCCCCAGGTGACAGGCTAGTGCATTAAATAATTGCACAGGCCACTGCTTTACAACCCCCCCCCATTTATTTACTAGGATGGTGTTTAGGCATTGGCTGCTTATCTGCTATCTTATAAGACAATTATTAGGAGGAGGGGAATATTTTTCTGTCCCTCTTACTGAGAGAACTCTGACACTAATCAAGGTGAAAACATATTTTAAAAGGAGACTTTGTCTAGTCATCTTTCTACTGCTTTCTGCCTGATTGCCAGCCATAGACTAGATTCACACTCAATGAGTAACACGTAATACTTTTAAAGAATCAATGAATTGTCTTTAATTTGTTTGGCCGCTTGAATTTTTTTTCCTGCATCGAGTCAGTGGGATTGGTGAGTGCTCAGCACCTCTCAATCAAGTTAGACGCCCAAAATTGATGGCCCCTTAAAAAACAAATTTAGGCCAAATTTCCCAAGCCAGGCTTCTTGCCTTATTCAAAAGCCAGAGCCTGACCGCTTAGGCTACATCTTCACCACAAAAAGGCGTGTTTTACATTGCTAGGATGTTTTGGTGAGAGCGCTCAGTCTGAAAACACCTCTTCGCACTGAGTCAATTCACTTCACTTCCCCGTGCCCCCCTGGCCTGACATCTAACAGCTGGTACCAGTAATGCCCTTTTGAGAGCAATGCGGTATCAGGCTCCAGCCAGAGGTGATATTTTAGTTGCACTACAGCCCAGTGGGAGGAGAAAGAACTTAATCAAACTGAAGACCTGGTCATTTCTTCACTCGGGAAAGAGAGCAGAATTTAGCCAAATTGTCTTCCTGTTCTGGGGGAAAAAAATCCATGCTAGGCTCACACCACTTCGCTCAAGAAGCTGAGAAGCCAGCCGTGGTGGACAGTGGTACTGTTCCTACGAGCGTGGGCAAGCTAAGGGGGCAGGGCCTATGGGGCACTGAAGGGCCAGCAGAACTCATTCTTCAATGTCTAGGACATGGGCACCAGCTCCAGCCGTGCAGGACGGATACAGTACTGCACCACACCGGTGCCTCTAGGTCAGAACCAAGGAAGGAGGCACAGGGAGAGGAGTGCTGGGTGCCACATCGTCTGCTCAGCACTAGGGGGCATGGGGGAGGAGGGGAAAGGAGACTCAGACTATCACCATTAGATTTCACCAGGTTCCCGGCAAAGCTGGGTGAAACCCCAGCAGGTGGGAGTTGGGAAGCCTGATGCCTCCAGCCAATCAGCATTACATTAGAATCCCAAACTGCATTATCCTCTTGATGCCAGAAGTCAAGAGCTTCCCCCTTGAGGCTGCATTTTGCAACTGCGTCAAAGGGGTAGTTCTGCCATTAACTGCACCAAGGGATGGAAGGGAGGGCCCTACCCACCCACACGAAGGAGACTTAATACGTTTTGACCTATTACATCAAAAATCCCAGTTACTCCAGAGACCCATTCGCTTCCCTCGTCACATCTCGATGAGCAGCTCCATTACCTGCAGCCACACTCATCCACCACCATGTCCTCGTAGTGTCTCAGCACCACGTTATCATGGTTGTCGTAATACAGGATGGAGATGGGGGACAGCCTGACTGGGACGCAACAGGGCTGGGGGGTTCCTTCTGGGTCAAGGGAGTGCACCATGGTCTGGAGGATGGCGTGGTTGGTGCTATTGAGTTCTGCCGTCAATGGGAAGGGGCACTCCCCGAGGCAATAGTTGGCCATGTATCCCTGCGGCGCGATGATCCAGTTCTCCCAGCCCACGTCACTGAAGCTGATGTAAAGCCGCCTTGGTTTGCAGAGGTTGCTTGGGGTGACCGGGGTATAATAGGAGCTTCGCCTCTTCCTGGAGGCCTGGCACTGCTTCTGATTGAGGGACACCACCAACAGCGAGGTGTCGAGGAAGGAGTCGATGCTGGCACAGAGGTTCTGCAGCCTTCGGGGTGGCAAGGCCTCGGCCCTGTCCCTGCTGCCCACAGAGATCTCCAGGATCAAGCCCAGGTTCTTGCTGGGGGTTCGCCAGCCCTTCGCCACTTCGGTCAGGTTGAAGAGGAGGGACTTGTGCAGCTGCGCGAAGGATTGCGCCACCAGCAGCTTGTGGTTGTACGTGTGGGAGGACATCCCCCGCAGAGACATCTGCAGGGCTTGGTACAGCCGCAGCTCAAAGACCTGCCCGCCACTGGAAGTGTGATAGGAGTTGTGGCTGAAGTTGATCTCCAGCTGAGCCATTGTCAGTTGCTCCCCCTCCTCCAACACAGAGAAATTAAAGTACAGACGTTTCTCCAGACACAGGAAAGTCTTGGGCTCCCCACTGTGAATGAAGTGGCCTGAGAGGGAAGGAAAACAGAGGAGGTGGCATTCGTTCCTTGAGCAGGAAGGGCCTCCCCACACACACACACACGCTCAGAGCAGTAGTGAAGTGGATAAACTAGCCTGACCTGAACTCCCCATTTCCCAGACGGGCAAACTCCATTTCCCCAATACTCGCCTTGACCATCAACTACACTCCTGGCTCAGCCTGCGCCCCACTCCGCTCTGCGACTCTCCCAGTGCAGTCAGGGCTGCCCTGAGGAACAGAACGAGTCTGGCAGATTCTCATCCTGCTCCACGCTGCGGGTGGGGAGCGGAGGGGTGTGCTTCTCTGCCACCCCCATGATACTGGCATCGGGCTCACACAAGGCCCCTGTTCAGGGCCTGGACAAGGTTCAATATTTTAAAGATAGAGCTGCCTTCTCAGCCAGTCACTGCTGGGGCAAGAGGCTTCCACTACCCTGGCATCATCTGGAAGTTCCTCCACAGCAGAGATTCCCCGTAGCCACGTGTCCCTGCTGCTGGGCGAAGGCTGCTTGGCTAAGAGAAAGTGGCAGACCGTACAAGAGAAACAAGCCAGAGCCAGCACCAGAGGCAAAGGTCTGCATGAGCTTCGGGGCTGGGTAGTCTGAATTCGTGGCTGAAGAACAGACCTGGGAGTCAGAACTCCTGGGTTCTCTGCCACTCACTGTTTGCTCCTCGGAGTCACTAAACCTCTCTGTGCTTCAGCTTCCCCATCCGCCTCCTTCATGGCAGGGGGCGCAGAATGTACTGCTCATTTCAGTGCTACTCCACCAAGGCCTGCTAGAGCAGGACCGGTCTGCTGGGCCCTTTGGACTCAGACCCTGATTGCAACTGGAAACAACAGATCCCTAAAGCAGCGAGTCTAGCTAAGGTCTAGCAAACAACTGGAACTGGCCTGGAGAGGCCCAGGCCTGAAGCAGCAGGAGCTGCTGCCCGTCCAGCTAAGGTCCAAGGATCGAAGGGTGAGGTGGGAGCCAGGCCTTGTCCGTGTGCCAGTGCCCAGGGCACGGGGAGTTCAATCTTTTCTGCATTCTCCGCCCTACGTGGAAGACATGAATGCGAACCTGAGCTAAGCCGCTGGAGAGCAGCAGCTGTGTTAATCGCACCCAGTTAAGGGACCCTAAGTCCAGCTCCACTGACCCCAGTTCCTTTAAAATATGCACCGGGCTGATGCTTATGGGAAATAGGAGTATTGCAGAACTGAACGGTGGGTGTCGGCCAGGGCCAGGGCTGTGCGCCGGGCACTGAAATCCCAGCCCCAGCCTCGTCTGCCCTGGTGGTTCCCTCGGAGAAGCACCAGTCACAGAAAAAGTCCCTCCCAGGATGTCAGAGGACGCGGGCGAGGCTGGAGGTACAATCACAACTCAGCCCTAGCCCTGTCCTGCAGGATCCCAGCGTGTCTCACCACCATCCCCGCTCAGCTCACCCGGCACAGACGATTTGCCAGGGCGCGGCGGGGGAAACTGAGGCACGGAGCAGTGACCTGCCGGAGCTTGCCCAGCGCCCAGCCCTTTGCTCCGACCACTGGACCCCACCGCCTCTCTCCAGCAAACACTAGGCCTGATGCCAAGGATCCCAGACGGGGTCAGGAAGCGGGAAGAGAAGCCGGACGGGCCCCTGCCCCAGACCCCGAGGGACCCCAGGGGCCAGAAGCCCGGAGTCTCTGTACCTTGGTCAGCGAAGACGCGGATGATGTTCCCGGGCACATTCAATTCCTCCACCCGACAGGCGCGGTCCGGAGCGCGGTCCCCGGGGGCAGGCAGCGCCCGCCCCTGGAAGATGCGCCACAGCACGGAGGGCACCGGGGCCGGGGCCGCGGGGGTCGGCTTGGCGCTCAGGCCCAAGGACTTTAAAAGCGACGTCTCCGGCGGGCTCCCCGCCATGCCCAGCGCCGCGCCCAGCAGCGCCCAGAGGAGGCCGGCTGCGAGGCGGGCCGGGGCGGGGGCTGGCCCCATGGCCGGGCCGGGCCGGGCAGACAAAGCCGCGCTCGCCAGAGGGAATCTGGAGCCACCAGGCGGGTGTCGATTGCGCCAGTGGCGCCTTTGATCTGGCGAGGGCGCAATTAGCAGCGAGGTCTCCCTGGATTGGGCAGGGGAGTGAGACCAAGCCCCCAGGCCGGGGCGCCCAGTGACCCTTTGGCGTCAGAGGGGAGGTGGCTTTGCCTTGTTCAGCCCCCAGCTGCTGCTAAACTCCGGGGGGGGGGCTGCCTGACACCCCCTTCCCTTGGCTTCACCCCCGCCCGGCTGGTCCATGCCCGGGATGGGCAGAGCTGCCCGGGCACCCGGGGGAAAGGGGCTGATTGTGGGACGGGGCTGCCCCTAGGCTGGGGGTGATGGAGGGTTTCTGCAGCGTGAAGCCACCTCCAGGCCTTGTGCTGGCTGGAGCCCACCAAGCCTTTTGTGTGCCCTGCGCTGAGGAGAGAGAGCGGCCCACGCCCTGGGGACCCTGCCTGTGAACAGGAGGGGATGGGGGGACTGTGCCCGCTGCACAGGAACGAGCCGGCCAGGTGCTCACAGGGGCCATGGTCAGACCCTCGCTAGGCCAGAGCTGGGCCCAGGGCAGGTGGGTTGCACACTTCCACAGAGCCTGCACCGGGGGCTTCCAGCCTGGCCCTTCCTGAGCATCACCCCCCACCCCATCTCCTCTTCGCATGGCCCACCATCAAACCCTCCCTGGAGACAGGAATGAGGCCATTCTCCTCCCACAACTGTAAGGCACCCAGCCTGTCCAGGTGTTGGCTTGGTGCCTTGGGGAAGAAGACCTGTGAAGTTTCCTCCCTTGAAATCCACAATTCTGCAGTGATCAGGGTCCCACATCCCCTCCCCCCTCAACTGGCACCTCCTGACTGTCTGACGCTCCCCCAGCCCTGCCATCCAGCCTGATGGGCTGTTAACTTCCACACCAACCTTGTCAACTGGTTCCCTGCCGAGGGAAAGACATATCAGCTCATCCTGTGCCAGCCCTGCCCTGGAGCACCCTGTGCATTGGCGGCCAATCAGTGGAGCGGGGGAATTCAATTATAAAAGGACAATAAGCCAGCCAGCTGCCATTTCCAACTGCAAGGCAGGGGGCAGCCCCCCCCCATGGCTTGCTGCGTTCCACTGAGCCCAGGGGCCTGGCCGCTCAGAGATGGAGCCCTGCAAGGTGGGGGCTGCAGTTCCCAGGCTGTGCTTTGGCTGCACTTGCATTAGTGGAGTCTGTTGTTTAAACCGACTAAACAGTTAAGCTGGCTGCAGACTCAGCACCCCATCCTGGCCTTGCCCTGCCCGGTCCCTCGGGTGTCAGTCACCCCCGGCGAAGTGGGCATGCTGGCAGCAGAAGGGGAGCGTTCTGATCCAGCAGCCACTTTTGCACAGGTGTAACTGATGACACAGGGTGCAGGGCCAGGGTGGCTTGGCCCTTCAATCCCTAAGAGCGTCAGGCCAATTAAACAGCACACAAGTGGTCCTGCCGCAGCTGTCTCTGTCCTGACTCTTCAACCCATCCGTCCAGAGCAAGACACTAATCCCTAGGAAACCTGCCAGAGAACCCTGCAGCACTGGCCTCGCGCTGCCCAGGCCTGCCCCAGCATTTGGGTCGGCCACTCATCGGTATTCAACCCTGCCTCGCCTCACGGCTAGCACAGCTGCAGCCGCTAACGGGCACTTGAGCAGCCAGCTGGCGTCAACGCACAAGCCACCATTAAACGACACGTTACCGAATTTACCGCGCCTGCATGCAAAACCCAGTCTGACAGTCAGGGAACAAACGCAGCCAGTGGGTGGGATGTTTAATGTCCTGTCCTCGCTAGTTCGGCTGGCTGGGGGGACCCAGACAGAATTGGGGGATTTCTAACAACCTGGCTCACGTTTTCATGTTACCTCCCAGTCTCTGATGTTTTCCAGGGAGTCTCTTTGTGGCTTATGCAGCGCTATCTGGGGTCTGCATCTAAGCAAGGGACCAGGAAAAACAACCAGCCTCTCACCCCCTGCCCGTTTGGATTAACCCTCTGCAGGCCGGCTGCACGTCCCTTCAGTGGCCTATTGTCCCCCTGGCTTGGAGTTAGGGCCCTCAGAGAGGAGCAGGCAGCAAGCCGTCAGCCGACGCTGCAGAAGTATTGCGATGGGATAAGTCCAGCTCCAGGGGGAGGGATGGGGGCAAAATTCCACAGGGTTTCTTCCCCACTGAGCGGAAACGTTCACAGCTCAGCCCAGCCCAGCCTGCAGGAAATGCAAAGCTCAGAACTCGCACTGCCTGGGAAACCGAGTCAGTCGGGATGTTAGCGAGTCCTTTGGTTTAGGCAGAGAAGGTTTCTCAGGCCAGGGGATTCATCAAGGCAGGAGACCTAGAGGGAGCAGCTGTCCCTTCTCTCTCTGATCCCTGGCACTGGCCTCCTAAGGGACGAAAGGGGCAGCAGTACTGAGGGCAGGCCTGTCTGACCAGCCTGAGAAGGCTGCTGGGAGAATCCTCTAGGCTCTGGCCGGGGCGGGCTCCAGGCAGGGGCCTGTGAAGTAACCCCTGGATGCGCTTACAGCAGCTCCCTGTAGTACACTGACCCCTACTGGACAGCAGGGCTCATAGCAGCACAACACGTCTCCCAAGCGGTATGTCACCATTCCCTGTTTGCAAGCTACAGCAGAGCTGGCTCTGCGCCCCCCACGCTTGGGACGCTGGTGCCAAAGGGGCGGGGGTGTTTGCCTCCCTGCTTCGAGCCCCTCACCAGCTGCACGGCCTCAGTCAGTGCTCCAGAGCCAAGAGCTGCCTGGGATCCCACAACTTGCCAGGTCTGGGGAAACCGCAGAGGGGGAGGATGGCGAAGGGGTGGGGTTGGCACAGGGGATCCCAGGTAACCGAAAGCAAGTTCCATATCTGACCTGGACCCTGCTAGGAAACCCCCCTCCCCACCCCCCCATCTCAGCCGACCCGTCCAGCAGCCTGCAGGGTGCCCGGCGCAAACTGGCTCCAGAAACCACGTCAGCATCAAGTGAAACCTGGCCAGAGCCAAGCCGAGAGGAGTGGACTGTTTCTGTCGGCTGCCAGCTGCTCCCCAGCTCCAGGCGGGGGTGGGGGTGGGGTCTTGCACTCCTTCTCCACGGGGCTCTCTCCTTCGCTGGGTTCATGGAGGGCCCCGGGTCAGTCCCCAGCGGCTGCCCAGCAGTTCCATTATAACCGTTTGTCTTTTATCAGCCCGTTCTTCAGGTGGTTCCTGTGAAAGAGACCACGGCAGAAAATGACACCCCTTTATTTGCACCAGCCCCTCCCCCGGCCATCACTTGCCCCTCCCCGGGGTCACCCCTCAGCTCAGACCCACATGTCCCTCCAATCCCCATAGACCCAGCCTCAATCCCATGTGATGGGTGCACACAGCAGGTTTGAGGGCGACCCAGGGAATGCAGTGGGGGGTCAGCACGTCGGGCCATCATGTCCGGCATGCCACCTCCTGCCAGATTGGGCGAGACTCTCAGCCCATTCCCCAATGCCAGATGCAAGGGGAACCCCCCTACAATGCAGCAGGGCCAGGCAGGAGGGATGGAGAGAGGTGTATGGGAAGGGACAGAGGGATGGACAGATAGACAGGCAGGCAGACGGATGATTCCTTCCTGACCCCACCAGCAACCAGTTTATGGCCTGTAGCCAGGGATCCAGCCCCTGTGCTCTCACCTGGCACAACCTCACCCCCCTGCAGCCCCATCACTGACCCCCTGGCATGTGGAGAAGTGTCTCTCGTACAGGCCCTGTTGTTCCCAGGACTCCGGGACGTTTATCCATAGCGAACATTTCCCTCACCCACCTGCAGCATTCCCAACCTCCTTTACTGCTGTGTCCCTGCCCCCTCTCCCCACTGGGGGGCGCTGGGCCTGCCCCCTGCTCACCCTTCTTTCCAGGATTTGGGGAGCTGGAGTTCACCCGCCTTCCGGGGCCCTGTGGTTTTCTTGCTCTCCTCCACGTCGTATTCACGCACGTCATTCACCTCCTGCATCTGCCCCGTCAGCACCTTGGCCACAAACAGGACGATGTACTGGGGGGGACAGGAACCAGGCAATGACCCCACTGGCCACAGTCCCCGCTCAGCTTCCCTCCCCCCCCCCTCCAGCCCAAACACACTCACCCACTAACTAGGGCAAACTTCTGCCCTGGGGGCCGCCCCGCTAGTCCCGGGGAGGCTGGTCTGAGAGCAGCGACTCCCTGGGCCGGTGGGCTCCTGGAATGAGCATGCCAGGCTGGGAGCCGGGTGCCTGGCGCTGCGGGGGAGCAGCAGTGCTGCCTCGCCCCAAGGGGGGAGCGGGATCCTGGGGGGCACGCAAGGAGATTCCAGCAGCAGATGAAGGGAGCCCAGAAAGACCCCTCCCACCCCCACGGTGGAGATCCACCGCTGAGACCGGGGCCAGGATCAATGGACCCCCCGCCCCCTATACACACAAGATAATAGGTGGGGCGGGGGCACAGCTCCAAACAAACCGAGCTGGGTTGAAGAGCTCTCCGAGTACAAATTACCCATCATGCCCCTGCTGCAGCCCCACCCCCAAATCTATTTGCCCAGCACAAGGGCAGGAGACTTCTATCCCTCTGGACTCCACAAACCCATAGCCTTAGTCATGACATCTGCCAGTCCCGGTGAGGGGGGGCAGCTCAGAGCTTAGCGAAGGCAGGGTCCAGCCTAGAGGGCCACCCGACCGCACGAGCTGCAGCCGCGCAGGGGGATTCCCTCCCCAATTCCCCAGCGGCTGGGAGGAGCTGTGGGACCCTCGGCCACAGGGAGGCTGGAGGGAAGCAGGCAGCAGCCACGCAGTAAGGACTGGACAGAGAAGCACAGCCTCCTGCCCAGGCCTGAGTCCTGATTCTCCCCCCGCCAGTCCCAGCTCTGCCTTGCGGGCTCTGGGGACGCCTGGCTGATGTGAGCCCTTTGGGAGATGGCTGCCCACCCGTCCCTCCCCCTCCCCTGCACTGACAGCCTTTCTCTCCACAGTTCCCATCTGTCCTGGAGCCCCAGGAAATGCCCCAGGGCTGGGCTCCTTCCTGCTGTTAGCGCTCACTCTCCGGTCCATCAGCAGGCCAGACGGTGGGAATTCCAGCAGGGAGGAGGCTGGGGGGCGGGGTAGCATCACCTTGTGCGTCCATCCCACCCCCTCCCCCACCCAACCATCCGTGCCCCAGGGGCTCCAGCTCTGTCTCTCTCCAGCTCCCCAGCGGCAGGGTCTGTGCGGGGGCCCTGAGCCGCCCCTACTCACCAGGAACCAGTAGACGTTCATGAGGGCGAGGGCGAAGAGCAGGGCGTTGAAGAAGAAGTAGAAGGGGATGTTGGGCACAGACTGCAGGCTGGTGTGGCAGGTGGCGTAGAGCACTTTGAGGGGGAACCAGTAGAGACGGAACCAGAACCTGCCAGGACAGACACGGGAGCGGGGGGGGTTGAGTGGCATTGAGGGGAGCCCCCCCGGAGAGGGGCCCGGGGATGAGCAGCACCCCTTCCCCCCCGCCCAGCATTTCCAGGCAACATGGTCAAGCCCCTTCCCCCATGTCTGGCTGCCTTGCGGCAGGAGAGCTGGATTTCATGAAGTCACTGAGGGGCTTCCCACCTGTCGCCGGCAGGCGCGGCTCAGACCCTGAGGGTGGCTGCTAAGCGGGATTACGCAGAGCCCAAGCGTCCCGGGAGGGCAGTAGAGAGACTGTCCTGGGACAGAGGGGAAGATCTGCAAACTGCTGCTACAGGCCCATCAGTGGCACATCTGCCCCCCCACTCCTTGGGTCTATGGCCAGACAGTGTGTCCCTCCCCTTCTGCCCCCGCATGGCTGTGCCAGGGGCAGAGGGAGAAAAGAGGCTGGGGAGGAGGTGCTGGGGGGAAGTACTTGAGCCAGGAGCTGGTCCCTGGCTTCCAACCAAGGTTTTCATGCTGTCTGGGTGTGGCCCAAGAGGGGCTGTGACGGGAGCATGACCCTGTCTCCCTCTCTTCCCCTCCTTGAATCCGAGCCGCTCTCGCTGTCAGAGCTGGATTGTGAAGGGGCCTGGACCCAGCTCCTCCTTCCGCCTGCCCTGGTGTGACCATGCTCTGTGTGCCTGATGTCATCAGCATCTCTGTGGCCACCCACCATGACGTCACAAAGCAGGATTCCCAGCCCAGCAGGCCCTAGGAGGGACCCCCCAGCCCACCCAGCTCACAGCATGGCTGTGTCCCCCCAGGCGACGAGGCCTAGCGGCACCGGTGGGGGTTGGAGGACGGGGGGTGGAGCGGGGCAGGGGCAGGAACTCACCAGCTGATGCTGAAGGTGAGGCAGCCGAGGTCGGAGATGACGTCGTTGAGCCGGTGATAGATCCCGCCCCGGTGCTTGAAGTAGACGTTGAGCTTGGTGAACTCCAGCTGCACGTCGCTGATGTCGTGCAGGAAGAGCACGAGAATCCCCACGTTATGGAACCTGCGGGGAGAAGGGACCGTGTGTGCGTTGGTGAGCAGGGCTGTGCACATCAGGTCACGGGGAGGCGGTGGGCTCTATGCCCAGGCCAGACTGTATCGGAGCTGCAGGCTCCATGCGATGCAGACCGACAGTGCTGGATGGCCTGGCACTGGGTGGACCATATTAGAGCCGGGGGTGGGGGTCGCAGCATGGGGCCGATTGGAGCACTGTGGGGCAGCTCA